TTCCCCAAAGGCTTTTTCAGAGTTCAGGTTAGTGTTCTGACACCAAAAGGCAAAGCCCCTAACCAACTGCAGTACATTTCTTAATTCTACCATATGCTTTCTTTCCCTGCAGAATATTGATAATTCTGTCATCTGTATTCCTCTTATCTTTTTGATAAATGAGGCTATTGTCTTCCTAACTCATTAAGGCATTTAACCTCTCCTTTACATTTGAAACACATATCTGATATACAAAATAATTATGAAGCCCTTCACTAGAAAACTATTTTGGTGAACACCAACTACACTTAGGTTTGCAGTTTCTGAGATCTTTTAAGATTGCTACCTAACAACATTACCTGCATTTCCTCCATCAGGGCCAAACACGTTTCCTTTTCAAGGTTAGTGCTTGCAGATTTTTGTTCATCTCTGGAGTGTTACAGGATGAAAAAGGGGCTTTAAAGTTATAGTTTTCCCATGAAAAATAGCTCAGCTTCTTCTGAAGGCACATTCTGCTATTGATCAGTCACTTTGCGCTCTATGAAAATGAATGACTGTATGATACATAGAAATGTGCTGTTGTATTCCATAATAGACAGAGGTTCCCAGCACAAAGCCCAGAAATAGACTCCAAAGGCATTGCATGGCTGTGCCTCACCATGGTTTGGGGAGGGGAGGGCAGGGCATGGCACCTTCAACAGAACAGAGCAGATGCCACCACGCCCATGCCCAAGCATTCAGCTCCTGCCACCAGGCAATGTCTCCTCGCTTCTTACTCCTCCGTATTCCAGAAATGAAAGCAGAGGCATTTCAGATGTGATTGCCTGTCCCAGTTGTTTCAACCCTTCATAAAGGAAAGAAATTCCTTTATTATAAAAGTTGCCTACAAAAGGGTGGCTGCTCAGTATTTCTGGTGGATGAAAACATCTGTCATTATATGACATTCAGGCAGCCTTTTTTCTTTTTCATAACACATGCAATATTAGGAATGAGTTTACCAGGACTCCAAGTCCTATAAACACAAAGTGTTGATTTTTTTAGAGCATTCTCAAATGCAGAACTACTTCAATAATATAATTTAAATCCAAGGATTATGTATCAGTGTTTCTTCTGTAATTCTTTTTCTTCAAAGAAATAAAAATTTACTTTAGCAAACTGCATAATCACATGGAAAAATCTGGGAGCCTGACAGGCAGAAGCCACTCACTTTTCATGGTGCATTGTTCCTCACCATCTCAGTGCCAAAACATTTCTGCAGAGCTGTCACAGGGGAGCTTGAGGTAAAATCCCTAAGATTTACATTAAGCAGGAGTTTGGGTATCAGGTGACAGTTATTCTTAAGTCTTCCTAATGAGGTCAAGAAGAATTTTGTTTTCAAACACAGTATTTCTGATTCCAAAACTTAACTTTTAAAGAATCTGATGGGTTTTAGACTTTATTTTAACATGTATTTCTAGATGTTTTTAAGGTTCTTTTAAGGTGACAACTACCTTTGAAAATGTACCCAGCTCTCCTGACATGTAAGATGAGACAATTGCTCAGTAAATCTTGTCATTTAGCTCATTGGAATTGGGATTTCACTTCAGGTTTTGGCTCAACAAAACCAGGGATAACATCCTGAGAGGATCTAGCACCTAGAAAGAGGACTTTTCTGCCCCTCTACTTTGCTCTCAGGCAACCCCACGTGGAGCACTGCATCCAGCACAGAAAGAATAGGGACTTTTTGGAACAAGTCCAGAGGAAGGCCACAAAGAAGCCAGGAACACTTCTCTTATGAAGACAGGCTGAGAGAGTTGGGGTTCCAGTACCTAAAGGGGCTACAGCAGAGCTGGAGAGAGAATTTTTATAGGGGCTTGTAGTGATAGGACAAGCAGGAATGACTAAACCACTCTTTTAAGTTCAAAGAGGGCAGGTTTAGATCAGTTTTTAAGAAAAAAATCTTTAGTGTGAGGGTGGTGAGGCACTGGCACAGGTTGTCCAGAGAAGCTTTGGACGACCCAGCCCTGGAACTGTTCAAGGCCAGGTTCAATGGGGCTCTGAGCAACCTGGTCTAGTGAAAGGTTCCCTGCTTGACAAGGGCTTGAAACGAGATGATCTTTAGGGTCCCTTCCAACCCAAACCATTCTATGATTCTGTAACTTTACAATATGGTTTATCTATTCAGTGATGCCAAGCAGACAGCCTTAGCAGTTTTTACATATTTCTCTTATAATGCACAGGGACTTTGTTTGGGGTTTTCTTAAAGCACAAGTAAGTAGCAGTCCTAAACAATGTATTATTACTTCATACTGTTAAACACCAGCTCAGGTACTATGTATTTTGTTTTCTCCATTCTACTCTAGGCTGTTATGAAAACATAAACAAACTTAAAACATTTGTTGCTATTTGTTCTATGCATAGCTCTACTAGGCCCAGAGTCCTTTTCTCTTGTTCATTATTTCTATTTGGAAGTGGGAAACTTTTCCTGAAGCAGTATTGTTTTCCATTGGGAAAAAAAAAAAAAAAGAAGGCAAGAGAAAATGAAGTATTTAAAAGTCTCGCAACTTACAGAGTACATAACACCCAGTTATAAATATGCTACAATCAGAACACTACACATTTTATGTAGAAAGAAACAGATGATGGTGGAATTCAGTTCGTGCTGAGAAAACAGGAACAGGGCTTATAAGAATGCTTACATCTGTCCCTAATTTGCTTGCACATAAACCCACGGTAATCTGCTTTATTGCCAAAGTCATATAAAGAAATTGAGCACCAAGCAGCCTAGGTAATCTTGAACTGGAGGCCCTCCAGCCTAATTAGACACAAATGCCCAGAAGGCCTGAGACTGAAATATGGCATGTAGATTTTGAAATATATGAAGAGACAGAACAGTCTCATTAGCAGCCATCCGGGTGTATGCTTAAGCCTCTGAAGTTCCTTCTTTGACTGAGGGAAGGAGTAAGCCACGTCTATGCCCGAGGCTAAGCACAAGGAAAAGCATCCTGCTCCTTCTGGAAATGGCCCCGATCTCCCAGCCCCCAGCCCAGCACGCTCCTCCTGGGCTTTGTGCAACTCTTGGCAACTCTCTTTGTACAGACAGACCCACAGTCAGCTGGCTGATTTAGTATCAATAATGCTGGAAAGCCAAAACATTATAAGTCATTGAAAAATAAGACAAAGAAGCAATTCTGTGGATAGTTTATAGAGATATTGGTTCGTTATTCACTGTTTAGTAGATACATTTCTTAAAGAAAGTTAGTCATGGAGTTTTGCCAAAAGCCATTTTCAAAGTGATAATTTTCCTTATTTCAAACCACTGAATGCTTTTATTTTTATTGCATCAAACAGCTCTTGTTGGCTACTTTCTAGACTACAAGCTTGTCTCTCTTTGATTTCATATATGCAGCTATTTTATGGAACAATGAAAAACTATGAGTGAATTAAAGAAACAGACAGAAGTACATGAAAATTTTAAGGCAGAATGGCTGTGGCAGAAAAGGCTCTGTGCAGAAACTGACCTCCATGTTGCAGATTTCAGGCACTTTCAGAGACTATCTATTTTTGGAACCATAATAGCTGCACTTAACTAACCAGAGGGTGTGATAGAAATGTTTTTATCAAGTTATCTCTCTCTAAGTTATTTGGAGGAACAATGCAAGGCAACACATTACTTCCTTTTTCAATTGAATTTTTACATTATCGGGAAATATCACACTGGCTTCAAAACTATAAACAACTTTTGCTTTTAGTAAAGCAAAAGGAGCTTTGTGCTTCTTTTCTTTTTCTGTAAACACAACACAAAGGAAACACAGGGACACAGGAGTCCAGAAATCTTGTGTGCAATAAAAAATTGTGGATAAAGCCTTCTGTTAATTGACATTCAAGGTCAATTTGTACCTTCATTTGTGATACTGTTGTTGTATCAGTGCCTGAGATCACCAATCAGCTCCATTTTATGGGAAGAGTATTTGACATCTAACCTTATTAGCAAGTGCCACGAAGTGTTACTATTACAAAACAAATAGGCAAATGTCAAATAGGGATAATATTTTAATGAACTTTTCCTAAAGATTATTTTTAATGTTTTTTGCATTTGCAAATACCTCGTTTGTTTTTTGGGTTTTTTTTAAGAATGTGTACCAGGATATGCACTGTTCTCTTTTCCCTTCACTGTGCCTTAGGTTTGAGTTTCAAGGAAAGAAAATAAAGCAGTAGGAAAGGAGTTACTTGGCTGCGACGTGGCAAGCCCTACACTATTGCCCACTGTAGGCCGTGTGACCTCGCGGAGCAGCGCGAACCGGGGCTGGCCCTGCGGAAGGGGACCCGCAGCCGCCGAGGCAGCAGAGCCCTGGCCCGCCTGCCTCTGCGCAGGCAGACATGAGCTCACCGCCGCGCAGGAGCCAGCTCTGCCGGCACACAAACCCGTGCCCGGGCTGATGCGCCTGTGCCCAGCGCGGGCAGCCGAGCTCCGGCGGCAGGACCCGCCCCGACGGGCCGGGATACCGCACAGAGCGCCTGCAGCGAGCGCCCGGGCCCGGCACCGCCGGCGATGGGGGACACGGCACCGGCGAGGCCGGTGACCGGCCAGCCTTCGCTAAGGACAAATGTAAACAAGAAGAAATAAAGGGGGAAGCGGGCAAGCCTTGGCTGGTTGAACCGCGTGAAAGGGCAGATGCCAGCAGTGTGGGCCCAGGCCCGCGCTAGAGCAAGGCGGCCCCGAGGGCACAGGCAGGGGCGGCTCTCTGGGACGGGAAAACCCGCCCAGCCAAGAGGAGGCCGTCGGCGAAGCCAAGCGCGGTGGCAGAGGCTGGGGAGGGCCTTGTCCGGGCGGGCAGGGTGGCGGAGGCGGAGGGCAGCGAGGGGGAAGCCTGCGAGCCCCAGCCCCAGGGAAACAGGGCTCAGCTCTGTGCTGAGGAGCTGCACCCTCCCCGAGGCGGGTGCGCCATGCACGGCCCGGGGCCAGCCCCGGTGCCTGACCCGGACAGCTGCCCCGGGCGCCCTGCATCGCCCCGACCCCGCCACGGGCAGCACCCCCTTACCTTCCGCTGCGGGCGGGGCCGCTGCTCGCCCGGTGCCCCGGCTGCTCCTGCCAGGGGCGGCGGGGCGGCGGCGGCGCGGAGCCGAGCGGGGAAACCCGGGCTCTCCCGGCTCCCCCGGCCGCCGCCGCACCTGTTGCCAGGGAAACCCAGGTGTCTCCTCATCCGCGGCCATCCCCGGCGCAGCGGAGGGGGCGAGGGGCGCGGGGGCGGCGGCGCTTGCGGCGCGGGGGAGGCGGCGGAAATTTAACAAGCTGCTTTTGCTACGAGGGGCCGGGAGCGTGTTTTTGGGCAGGTTTCTCCCGGTTTTGGGCAACTGCTCGTCTGTTAAGCTAGGGCCTGTTTCAGAAAGAGTAATTGTGATTTGGGCAGGAATTGCCAGTCCCTGCGAGCCCAGATAGGCTCCTGTCTCCTGGCCTTGTTATGCAGGGCTCTGGAACAGGTGGAGAAATCATGAGCGGATTTCCTTTGGCTTTCTGACAGTGGAGAGCGATGTCATTGCATTGACTGGTTCAGCAGCAGTTCTGTCTGTAGCATAAGGGCATGCCAGTGTGGAGGAAAAGATCACAGAAATGACACCACTCAAAAATTGCCTTCATTCCCTTTTGCTGCACGACTATTTTCATTGCAGTTAACAACTAATCAGTTCCAGGAATTTGTATTAAACTGCAGCTAGCTGGGCTTGCCAGCCCCCGCTCACCCTTAAGGCTGACCCTTTGTGCCACTTCTGGCTCTCTCTGACTGAACACTTCTCCTTTGCATCTTTCTTCTGCAACAGGAGGGTGGGTCTCTCCATTTGGATCCTTGTGGTATTTCTTTATTTCCAACATCCTGTAGTACTCTGCCTATAAACTAAAAGAGTGTCTTACAATAGAAGTAAAAATTAATTTGACATTTTCTGATTGTATATTCGTTACAAATTTTCTTATGAGCACTTGAAATTAGCTTTTCCTACCCAAGGAGAAGTTTGAAACTGTTCTATGTATTTTCTGCTTCAAAAACCAAAAATGAAGCATGACTGTGTATATTTTGGATATGTTAATAAGCAAGAAATTATAAACTAAAAGAGTGTCTTACAATAGAAGTAAAAATTAATTTGACATTTTCTGATTGTATATTCGTTACAAATTTTCTTATGAGCACTTGAAATTAGCTTTTCCTACCCAAGGAGAAGTTTGAAACTGTTCTATGTATTTTCTGCTTCAAAAACCAAAAATGAAGCATGACTGTATATATTTTGGGTATGTTAATAAGCAAAAAATGTATATGATTTTATTCAATTTAATATGTTGAGATCTGACAGACATATGGATAGCATCTGCATAGGCCATGTTCTGGCTCTGGGGGCCCAGAAGAGATGTTACAATCCCATATTCTTCTGCCGATAGTACTGCGGAGAACTTGACAACGGATGATAGTTGTTTCTGACCCATAGACCTTTTTATTCCATTAAAAAAAAAACACCAGACAGTGGCTGGTGCTCCCTCATCCCGGGAAAATCACATCTGGTTCCAGCATGTATGCCCTCTATCCCACATGGCTGGGCTGGAGTCTCTTCTGAAACTCCAAACCTATCCTATCCTAACAAAAAACTGCTCGTAGAGGCAATGCTGCTGCTGTGTTGGAAGGGAAGAAATGCGGTCACATTAGAGAGAGAAGGATATTTTGTTTCCAGATACATCCTCCTGCAGCAGTTGCTATGGTTTTATACATTCTGAAGTTGTTTTGCCACATCAGCACTAAAAACTGTCATAAAACATCAAAGGCATCAGCTGAACAAGAGGCAACTCAGTACTGTGTGCTCGTTTCAGTTTCTGTGTCAAAATATGCCACAGCTAGTAACTTTCAGAGTCTATCAGGTCTTCAGACCCCCTGCACACTGACCCACAAGGCATGGTCCTGTACTTTTCCCTTGTTTGAGCAGGACTAAAATCGCTCTTGTGGATTAGAAGGACACATGCCATATCTAGCATGTGCACTAATAAATGGTCAGCAATTCCTTCTTCCTCACTTTTTTGCATAATTATTTCACCTTTCTCACTGCCTTAGGTTGAAAGATTTAGCTGGGGGTGTGTATTCTATTTGCCATCTGTTAGAAGTGGGACTGTTATCTTCTGTTAATTGTGCAGTTGTCGTTATCTCTTCCACAACCAATCCTCCCTTCAGGAAATATCTTCTGTTAATGGTCCATTGACCCTCACTGCATGAATGATAAAATTCCATCATCCCACTGGGAGAAGGTCTGCCCAGAGGGAGGAGCCAAGCATTCCTACCTGGATATAATCTGAGATTTGGAACATCAGAGTAGCCTTTTCCCACTGGATTCCCAGAGGAGTAGCTTTCTTCTTCATTGGATTCCCAGAGAAAGACCAGGCCCATCTACACCACCATCAAGCCTTCAGAGGAAAACTCCACCCTTCTACAGAATCCCTGCTCCGACAGAACCACACCTGTCACTGCAGCAGGACTGCAGCCACCATTTAATGGGACTGCTGCCAACCCCCTGACCAACAGGGTGTCAGGTTGTATTCTGACTCTGTCAGTGCTTTCTTTTCTTTTTCTGTACTATTGCATTTGTATTTTTAATTTTCCTAGTGAAGAACTGCTATTCCTATTCCTGTGTCTTTGCCTGAGAGCCTCTTAATTTAAAAATTATAATAATTCGGAGGGAGGGGTTTACATTTTCCATTTCAAGGAAGACTCCCGCCTTCCTTAGCAGACACTTGTCTTTCAAACCAAGACACTCATGCACATTGTGAGAGATGAATCTTCAGTTTAATAAATACCCCCATGAAGAACATGAAGTGCCTTTCAGTGAGCTTGGGGGCAGTTACAACCCATCCTCTTCAAGCCATTCAAGTTACTGAGCCAAAAAAAGAGGAGCTTTGTTTGCTATAGTGGCAATTATCTTTCTTGTATATAAGATTGCCTCTCTTCTCTCTCTTGTTGTTTCTTGACATGCTTTTAAAAAATGTGCATAGAGGGGGAAAAAAAAAACCAAACAAACTCAAAAGTTTTTTCTCTCAGTTCAGTGAAACTGAAATGGATGCTGTTCATTTGCAGAAATACCTGACACAGGTTAATTCTGAAGAATACAAAAAACAAGCGTAACTTTGGAGATTTTTTTTTTCTAATGCTTTTTGGCTATGACTATTGTAAAGTTCATGAAACTTGTATATGTGTAACACCAGAGAAGTGGTGCATTTTTAAGATCCCAGTTTGTCACCTTGCATGAACTCACAGGTCATTACATGAATAAGGTCAGGAGTAAAATGAAGATTAAAAGGGGTGTGAAAAGAACTAATAGTAGTTTTTTAATATGCTGATTCTTTGTGGCTGGTGTTCAGATGACAGCTGACCTTATGAAATCTACTGGTAATAAAGACTTTTACCCACTATTTTGTCTCGGATACACAACAGCACCAAGGCTGAAGTATTTTTAATCAGGGTATTAATGATTAAGTATTTTTAATCATTTTTAACCTGCAGAACATCACAAGATTTAAATATTTTGGTCTTTTGTCACATGCATTCTTTCATTTTTCTCGTATAAGAAGAATTCAATTAAGTGAGTCACAGCAAAGAAACTGTGCAGAAATTTATCAGAAGGGTTATATGCAAAAACTATGTGCTACTTCACTGGAAACCAATGGCACCAGTCCAGTGACTAACATATGCTATGGCAACGGTGACACCACATGGGAGTGATGGGCTGGGCTGCAGGGTGAAAGGAAGTGCTAAGCAGAGTACACAGTAGACGGAGGGAGCTATTCCAGGTTTGTCTTCCGAGTGCTATTTTTAAGTTTTTAGATTAAATTTGATCTTGATGCAGTCCTTCTTTCCACACATTTGGGAGTCAGTGCAGCATACACACATGGAAAATACTTTCCAGTTTCAGTATGAACAAGCTGAGCAGGAGGGACTCACTGCAAGATTACCATCCAAATCGCCATCTGCCCAAGGGAAGGGACAGCATGTAGTTGCACTATTCCTGGAGCAAAGAAAGGGCCAGGTAGTTACCAAGTCTTCCTTGCTTTCTGCAGAAAGATGGTACAGCCCACCTCAAGAGGTTTGTCCCTGCACTGGCTTGTTCATGCTGCCAGTGTCTTTAGCAAAGACACAGGCAAACTTCTTTGTGTGTCTGTGTCAAAGTTTCTTTACTGAAAGTCCACAGATTTTGAGATGTGGAGGAGAGAAACAACAAAAACAGGACTAAAAATGTGGTACCCTGAAACAGGAAAAAGAGAAGGTAGGATGAGAATATATTTCTCCTCTTACACCCATGGCTTTGTCCTAGCCTACATCTTCTGAGGATGTTCACAGGCCAGCCCTATTTTTTACTTTTACCATGACACGGTTCCTTCAAGTAATAGAGTACTTAGGATAAATATCAGATATTAATTATGTAAAAAGTAGTCTGAACATCTATTTTTTACATAAACAAAGGCTTTTTTAAAAACTATTTGGCCACTTAACCAAGAGTTATTTGGATTGGACCATCAAAGAAAAGGAAGCTCCTGCAGTCTATTTTCTGGAATGAATGATGTGTCTCCAAAGAGCAGTTCACAGAGCAGGCCCCTAAGACTGCAAAAGGGAAAGGCTGTTTAGTTACTCAGAGTAATCTCTACCATAAGCTCTATCTTATCCCACAGGTGTAAAATAACAACATCTGATCTGAAACCATCCATAGAGCTGCTAAGTAAACATATAAAAACCTTAAACTGTAATTAAACTGCTGCCAATTGTTAGCTGTTGTCAGTGGAAATGAAGGTGTAGCAAAAGTCAAGAAAAGGTCATTTCATTCCTCACTTTGCCTCCTGGCTCTCGGCTGCTTTTACTCCAGAAGTGGTCAGACCCCAGAAGCTGTTCAGTTTCTTATCATGTTAAGAAGCTGCCCTAAAGGGCATGGACAGATAGCTTATTCCAGAGAAGCCCCTTCCTCTCCAACACGTCCATGACACTCCCTGGCTTTCAGAGGGGCATAGAGAGCTGCTCCTGCAGACCCACCCAGATCAGCAGGATTTCACTTTGCCATGGCACAGAAACTGGGGAGCAGCCAGTTCCACCAG